ATCGACGAAGTACACTGCTGAGGGGAGCAGCGGGCGGGTCAGGGGAGGTCTGCCTCGCCATGTGGATCTCCTCTGGGGCAGGCGGGGATCGAACTCATGAGGAAGGGGCTTAATCTTAGTGCAGTGCTTTAACCCGCCGCTGGTTTCACTTTACCTGCCACTATCCCTCTGTTGGCTTGCTTGGGGGAAGTACCCCCCCTAAGCTCCCTTTTTCTTGTAGCCATTTCTCTGTACAGTTCTGAGTTTGAACTGTGTTTGAATCTTGACTGGGTCGTTCCTGGGAGAAAAAATCCAGGATACACACTGCATGGTTAATAGTATTTTCAGTAGTGATTTCCTCCCCAAATCGTCTGCTAACATTTTCAGAGTCTTCAGCTAGCTGCCTTATGTATTCTGATGGAGGTTTTAGTTGCTTTCAGTGAGAAAAATAAGATAAACTGAGCTTGCTTTATTTTTACCAGAACTAGAACACAGATGACATTTTAATTTCATTGTAACTATTCTTTGATTTGGGTACAAGTTCTTGAGCATCCATGCTGTACTAAGTGGTTTTGTTGAAATGTAAAGAGTTTGAACTGTGTTTACACAAGTTCATGTTATGCTTTAATAATAATTGAGTTAATAATCTTGATCCTGTTTGGTTCATTACTGCTTTAACTTTTGACATTGTTTGTGACTTAAAAAAATCCCTATTTATATTCCATTGATTTTCCACTTTTATTGTTATCCTAAAATACAAGGAATAAAAGTCTCTGGATATGTATGTATGGAGTGAAATTATTAATTCATAGTTACAATGAGAACAAGAAGTGTAGTTTCTTATATACTTATTCTAGCATGATAAAAAGATAATTTATTTTTATATATTGTTTCTCAGGTCTTAGAAAAATACCCCAATACACCCATGAGTCATAAAGAAATTCTTCAAGTTATCCAGAGAGAAGGACTAAAAGAAATCAGGTAAGTTACCAAATATTACTAGTACTTGATTGAATTACTTGATTATAATATTCTAGGATATTTTGTATACAGCAGTGGAGATTGAAGATTATTTAATAGTAACCCTCTTTGTTATTATGATTTAAGTTGTCAGATCTTTGGAGTTTTCAGTCATAGCACAATTAAAAACTAAAAGTATCTTTAAAAAACATTCTCAAGAAGGAAGCAGCTCACTCCACACCCATGCACTTTAATTCTTAGGAAGGCCTGGAGCCATCTTCGAGCCTTCATCTATCAATGCAGGTTTTTATATTAAGCTTTATATTAATATAAGCTTTTCATCAGCAGATTAAAAAATACTCGAATGTAGGGAGAGTGCTAGAGGTAGACAGTCTAGGAAGAAGTAGCCTTAGCCAAAAATAATAAAATGCAAAACACTTATAACGTAGTGTATATTCCAATAAATAATCATATTAACTAACAGTCTGGGATTTATATAGGACCAAAGATAAAATATACCTTAATTCTAAGAGTCTTATGTGTTATAGTAGCACATAATCATTACTGTTCAAAACAAACCATATATTGTTAACGTCTTAAAATTGTGTTTAGCATATGTTAAAGCAGAAGCTTGGAAGTCTACACTAGAGATACTTTCATTCAGATGTAAAAAGTTGCAGTGCATTAGAAGTGCTACTAGTTAGTCTCAGCTAGGGGTAACAATAGGGAAAGGGCTTGAATTTTGGGAGGATATTTTTGATATCAGAGTGATCAGAAAGAAGCGAGCTTCTTTCTGAGTTTAATGAAAGGCAGGTAACAGGGCTGCCAAATGGTCTTGTCATGCTGGCCCCTTTTTTACATCGAAGAATTGTTTAGCTCAGATACTGATAGTATTTCTATTGAGAAATAGCCATACTAAGATAACTATGAGTGGACAGTATCTCTCTCTTATTAAAAGATTTATTTTTATGTATTTATGCATACAAGAACCGGGTATAGGGCAGAGGTACGGGGGTGAGAGGATTCACCAGAATGGAGAGCAGAACTGGCAGATGTACTGAAATACACTGCTGAGGGCAGCAGCAGGTGAGACAGGAGAGGTCTGCTGTGCCATGTGGGTTAGCGCCCTGGCTCAGGATCGAACTCATGCTGCGGTGGCTGCAGCGAGCACTGAAACTTTAACCCCTGCACTACAAGGGAAGCCCTAAGTAGAGATTTTCTGATTCCAACTTCTACATTGGGTAGAATAAGCTCCTTCTCTCCCAAAAAGTCTTTTGTCTCCAAATGGCAAGTTTTTTTCTTGAGGCACATTCTGTTTTCTTTTGGCTTAAGATAAAATTGTATTACTTCAAGTTATAATATATGTAACATATAAATTACAAAAAGTAAAAATGAAATGTCCTCTTCATTGACAACCATTGAGCCACTTCTAGGTCTCTACACGGTTCGCTTTACTTCCCTAGTTTTGTTGTTTAGAACCTCTGGTACTTTGCTGAATGAGTGGTGAGCACACAAATCCTTACCTCCTGTTTTATAGGAGAAAGCATTTGGTCATTCTCCATTAAATATGATAGGAGGTATAAGTTTTTTCTGAGATGCTCTTTAGCTGGATGAGGAAGTTTCTCTTTATTTTTTCCTAGGGCTGTTTTAACAGAGTGCCTCAAAACAACAAAAATTAATCTTTTTTTTGTTTTGTTTTTTAAAGATTTTATTTATTTATGCATACAGAACTAGGGTACAAGCCAGAGGTGCAAGGGCAGTGAGAAGATCCACCAGGTCCAGAGTGGGGAGCAGAACAGGCAGATTGATGAAGCACACTGCTGAGGGGAGCAGCAGGCAGTCAGGAGAGGTCTGCCGCACCATGTAGGTCACCTCCGGGGCCAGGGATCAAACTTGCAGTGAGAAGCTGCGGCCAGCTTGCAGTACTGTATCTAACCTGTTACACCACCAGGGAGGGCCCACAATAAATCTTTTTAATTCTGTGGCTGGAAATCCGAAGTCAAAGTTTCAGTAGTGCTGCTTCCTCCTGGAGAGTCTGAGGGAGAACATGGCAGCCTCCCTCCTAAATTCTGGTGGTGCCGAGAGTCTTTGGAGTTCCCTGTCTTGTGGCTCAATACTCCAGTCTCTCTTCATATAGTCTTTTCCGTGTGTCCCTGTTTCCAGTAAGGACACCAGTCATTGGATTAGGGCCACCAGGATTACATTATATTAACTTGATAGTATTTCAAGTCTGTTTCTGAATAAGGTCACAGCCACAGGAACCTGAGTTGAGAATATAGGTCTGTGTGTGTGTGTGTGTGTGTGTGTGTGCGCGCGTGCGCGTGCGTGCGTGCATGCATTTTGGGTTGGGATGGGGAGGATCAGCACAGGGCAGAAATGGTAACAGTCCAACCTCAAATGCTCCCTAGTTCAGTTAGCTAGAGATTTTAATTAAGAGTGGCTATTGATTTTTGTCAGGTACTTAATGTGATCAATTGCTATGATCATGTGATTCTTCTTATTTAACCTTTTGATAAGGTGCATTAGTTGATTGGTTTAGGAATCCTGAATGATACTTGCACACCTGTAGTGGTAATACAATTATTTTTGCTGCATTTGTTTTGTATCTGGGGGTTCAGTGACATGATTGTCTCCTTGATAATTCACCAGTGTCCCGAGTCTATGCTCATTTTTCCCCACTTTTTTCTATTTGTTTCAGATTGTATAACTTCTATTTTTCTGTCCTCACATTTCCTGACTCTTTGTTTTCTACATTTGGCTATTGAACCTATTTAGAGTGACTTTTTTTTTTTTTTTAAAGATTTATTTATTCATACAAATCTGGGTGCAGGCCAGAGATGCGGAGGGTGAGAGGATTCACCAGGAACAGAGTGGGGAGCAGAACAGGCAGATCGACGAAGTATACTGCTGAGGGGAGCAGCGGGCGGGTCAGGAGAGGTCTGCCGTACCATGTGGATCTCCTCCTGGGCAGGTGGGAATCGAACTCATGCGGAATTGGCTTAAGCTTCTTAGTGCAGTGTTTTAACCCGCTGCGCCACCAGGGAGGGCCCCATAGAGTGACTTTTTAAAAGCTCAGGTTTTATATCCTTTAATTTTAAAATTCTTTAGTAGTTCTTTGTCATCTGCAAACTTCAAATTCTTTCATTACTTCAAGTTCTTTTATCTTTGCCTCATTAAGTATAGAATGATGAATCACTGAAACTTTTTGTCTGTTTAAGTCCAACAAGTTTGGGTGCCTCAGGGTTGACAAGTGTTGGGGGTCTTTCCCTTTGAGAATTTATCACATTTTCCTGGGTTGTTTTTTTGAGAAGTTTAAGATTTAGTCTATCTTGAATAGTGTGTTGTTTAGGTTTTGTTTATTTTTAAAGATTTATTTTATTTTTTTATGCATACAAGATCTGGGGTGTAGGCCAGAGGTGTGGAGGGTGGGTGAGAGGATTCATCAGAGACAGAGTGGGGAGCAGAACAGGCTGACTGACCAAAATACACTGCTGAGGAGAGCAGCGGGCAAGACAGGAGAGATCTGCTGTGCCATGTGGGTCAGCTCCCTGGCAGATCGAACTTGTGCTGCAGTGGCTGCTGACAGGTTCATAGTGTTGAGACTTAATACCCTTTTTTGAGAGCCTAAAAAGCCTTTTTTTTAAAGTGATTTTTTTTTTCTTCTCTTTTTTAAAATAGCTCTTCCCTGGCTACATGTTCTTTTACCTTCTGTAGGTGTTTGCTCAGTAATCATTTAGTTTCCAAAGCCTCTGTGCTTCTCTTGGTTCATTTGAGATTACCAATGTTTCAATTCTCAAAGCCTTTGCTGCGGTGCTTGGGGATGTCCCAAGAATGCACAGCTCAGGGATCAGCCCCTGCCTTTTGTGGGAATTAGGGATACTCCTTTCTCCAGTTCTCTCTAGCTTTGTCTCCTTCCCCACCCCAAACCCCACCCACTACCCTAACTTGCAGTGTCCAGTTCCCCTTTCTCCTAGCCAGTAAAATGGAACTTATAAAGAGTTTTATCTCCTGTCTTTATCTCTCCAACTAGGGGGCTTGTCTTTAGTCAAAGTAATAAGAACAAAACCCAAAAAATTTACTCTTGTGTAAGAGTTCTGCCAACTGCAAAGTTAGCAGAACAGCTCACATGACTGTCGACCAAAGCATAGTTCAGAGGCCTCCACGTTACATTACAGTTAAGCCACTGATTAAAAGTCCCCACAAATGAGCATCGTTCTATTTCCAAACTTCTTCTCCCTCCCCTTTTCCAAACCAGTCACATTACTTCAATCATAGAATGTTATAGCTTGAAAAGATAATTAGGATATTACAATTGCATCTCTTCTTTTCTTTTCATAGAAGAATTAAGACCATGGAGGTTGGACGTGGCCACAGTCATACAAACTAGCTCAATGAAACTAGAAACCCAGGCTTCTTGCTTCTGGCTTTGTCCTTTCAGTGTATCCTATGTCTCTATATTCATAGTTCTCTTTTTCTCTTTTTTTTTTAAAGATTTATTTATTTATGCATACAGAACTAGGGTACAGGCCAGAGGTGCAGGGGTGGTGAGAAGATTCACCAGAGCCAGAATGGGGAGCAGAACAGATAGATTGGTGATAAGTACACTGCTGAGGGGAGCAGCAGGGAGACAAGAGAGGTCTGCTGCGCCATGTGGATCAGCTCCCTGGCTGGGGATAGAACTCATGCTGAAGCTGCTGATAGCGTCATTGTGCTGTGCTTTAACCCGTCGCACCACCAGGGAGGGCCCATAGTTCTCTTTCACCCTCTGTTTAGTATACTTGCTGTATTATTTTGAAATAAAATTTTTGTCTTGTGCTGATACAACAAAAAAACAGTAAGTTAGTTGCTGTCTAATTGTAAATTATTTTCTAGAAAATTTTGAAATAAAAACTTCAGCCAAGCCATTATAATAACCTGACTTCTGAAATGGTCAGTATATTTTTACAGGATTTACTCTAACTGAACATTTAAGTAGATCTTTATATTTTTTGGCAGAGCTCCAAACTGTTGCAGGGCAAAAAGTTTTTCTTACCTTTCAGCTTTGTGTTCCAAGCAAACTCCTTTGGAATGGGAATTGAAAAGAACCATCTGCAAAGATCATGCTCAATAGACCTTTGTGAGACTGGAGGAGTTCCATTGTGTCTGATTACTAATCCATTTACTTATGAATAAAATAATCCTTCTCCTAGGATATTTAAATACATTTTAACTCTTATAAAAACTAATCAGATCACCTAATTCTTCCCCCTACCTCTTACTATGCAAAAAGGATATAGCAAGGGAAATGAAAGCAACGTTTTCTACTGCTTTTCAGCAGAAACCATTATTTCTTCAGAGTAAGTCATTTGGTATCTGAATTGCTTTGAGGAGGTTTTATTATTTAGTTCTAGAATGAAAACATCATTAATTAAGTTGAGAGCATAGTTATCTAATGTTGGCTGATGCATTTCTTTGTGAGTTGCAGTCTGTTTGAAAGAACTTAGACTTTGTAGGAATGTGAAAAGGACTAATAATGAAAAGACAAAGAAAAAATGCTTGGATATTGATAGAAGAGTATTCTTATCATTTGATATTCAGATTCTCAATGACTTCTGTTTTGGATCAAAGGAAAGCTAAATAAACTTAAGAGTCCATAGCTGATGGCTTTATGATGGCTCCTTGAAATTGAAATGCATGGGAGGAATATTAAGGATAGGGAACATTCATTGTGTCCACATTTAACTGCTGTTACAGCTTTACTTTGTCAATAATAAGATCTTATAACTGTTCTGAAATGGCTTAGGCTATTTAATGGAATTTAATTGTGCTTTTTTAGACAACAGTGATATTTTGGACTGACTTGTAAATGCTAAAGAAGAAATTGTTTTTATATCTCAGAGGGGGGTTGCTAATTTGTGGAATTGTGAATATTGCTGGGAGGGGAAGGGAGAAATTAAAAGGAAATGTTGCTTTGTAAAGAAAAATTAAAAGTTCTTTTTTTTCCCTCCTTTTATTTTCTTGGGGTGCATTCCAACTCCAGAAGGTAAGAAGTATTACTTTATTCTAAAGAAGTATTATATAGTTATAAAGCACTTTTGCAAGTTTAATTGAACTTACCTTTGGATGCTTGATTTTTACTTTATAAAACTTAAGTAACTTAGAGACTGAGTAAAACTTATAAAACTTAAGTAACTTAGAGACTAAAACTTAAGTAGTTAGAGACTAAGTAAGTGATAGTACTGTGTAAATATTATGTATACTATTTTTGTTCTTGTAGTTTATAACCATTGGTCATAATTCTAGAAATTAAATGTACATTTAGTTTTTTTAAAATCATTTGACTTATCATTGGTTTATGTGTATTTGCACATTAATAATGAGAATATTTAAGAATTGGAGATACAAGCTAATGTTTGCTTTATGATTATACAGTTGAAAATTTATGTTAATGTTCTGGCCAATTTGGAGAGACTTGATAATTCCTCTAAAAGAATGACACTTATTTAAAGCATGCCAGAACAGGTTAACATTCCTAGGTTGAATTCTTTTCTGAATTGGCTTTTCATCTGTGTTGACGTAGTAGTTAAGACACAATTCTGTTAGAGCGGTTCTCATGTTACCTTGTATAGTTCTCTAACTTTGTGAGATGTTAGAGTAGGCATCTCAGTCATGTTGTTTGGACATGATATGCTTGGCTTCTAGGTAGAACATAATAAATCTAAATGCCAGTCAAATTTGCATTCCACTAAGTCCATTTACAAGAGTCTATTCACTTTTGAGTATCAGTTTATGGAGGAAATCTTAATTTATGACATGAAACAATGTTAAAATTTTAATTAAAATTTAAAACTATTTAAAAATTTTTGTGTGTTTTGTTAAGGGGGCTTATATTTGATTAGGATCCTTAGGTACAAATAATAGGAACCAGATGTGAATAAAATAAGCAAAATGGTATTGAAGAATGGGATTGCTCCCAGACTCAGAGGAAAGAAGCAGGCTCTGAAATGCAGAGAATGAAGGCAGCTTCAGAGATCAGGTAGCTAGAACTAATGGATCAAGTCTCTTTAGCCTGACTGAAATAGTGCATGTCCGCTATGTTCAAGGAAGGGTGGTCCTGGCTGGCCAGCACTTGAGTGGTGAGACATGCTAATGGATAGCCCTAGGAAGGACTTCACTAGGGGTGAGCTGTAGTTTCCCAGAGCAAAATTGCACATTCTTTCCAGAAAAAAAGAATACAATTTAGTCAGGCAGAAGCAACAGCTGTCCACTCTATTCAATGTAGAAAATTAGAGGGTAACAGAAAAATTTGAGCCACCAAAGGTTATTAGAATACCCTAACACAGATGTTCCCAAGGGTGATGTTGTATAACACCATAGTCCAGTATTACAACTAAAGTACTGTTTTTGTGCAGCCTACCTGGTTTTACTTGCATTACTTATGTGTGTGCCGTGTTCATGCACCTGCTCATACAGATGTGCATTTGGCCCTCTGTACTCTGAGCACGTAAGTAGGTTCAGGGATCTACCACCATTTAGAATACAAAACAGCTTTTCTACAAGTTCTGTTCCTTAGCCATGCTCCTGTCACTCCACCTCACTCCTGGCAGTACGTATTTGTTACACATTTTCTATAATTTTGTCATTTCCACAGTTTATTATCGGACTCATACATAGTGTGTGATCATTTGAAATTGGACGTGTCTTTTTTTTAGTACACTTTTCTGTGTACTTTTCAATGTTATATGTATTAATATTTCATTTGTATTCGTTGTTGAGTAATATTCTACTACATGGATGTAACATAGTTTACTTTCATTCACTCATTGAAAGGCATCTGAGTTGTTTCTAGCCTTTGGTTATTGTAAATAAAGTTGCTTTGAAATTTTTTATGTGTGTTTTTGTGTGGACGTAGATTTTCCTTTCTCTGTAATAATGCCCAGAAGTAGTGCGGTTGCTGAATTGTGCGATAAGTGTATGTTTAGTTTTAAAGAAATATTCATACTGTTTTATACTGAATTTACATTCCTGTCAACAGCATATGTTATCTATTTTCTCAGATTTTGAAATGAAATTTTTATAGTTAATGGTTGGGTTTACTCTTAAAAAATAACTCTTTTCCTTTTAATTTCTTTGTTCATAGAATTTATTTTTAAGGTAATTGTTGATATGTTGGCATTTATACCTGCCATTATATTACTTGTTCTGTTTGTGTCCTGTTTCTCTTTTCTTTTTTTTTTTAGAGTTCTATATTAGTGTACTTACAGTGCATTTCTTTATCTCTCTGTGTAAGTTTCTTGGTGTTTTTTTTGGGTATTAAAGTATACATGTGACATATCACAAGTCTGTTGTTACCAACATTTTGCCACTTATAAAAATGGAAGTTTTATTATTAAATCTTTAAATTTCATTCTCTTGATTGTCAGGTAGTACTATATTTTTTGTTCCAATCATCAAATATGAGTTACAAAGCTCATGAGGATCACCTGGTGTGTGCCCTGTTCCTGCTCCTGTTGCTGTCTTCTGATGCTACAGTATTTCTGCTGTTACTTCATTTCTGTTGGAAGATTGTCCTCTAGTCATTCTGTGAGTGTGTCAGCACATTCTTATAGTTAAGGTTTAGTTTTGCTTTTTTGGGTCTTTATTTCTTTGTTTCTAAAGGATATTTCATCAGATACAGAATTCACAATTGATAGTTCATTTTGTGTGGCACTTGTCAAATGTCATGCTACATCTTTTTCGTCTTGGGTTTTAGATGAGAACCTTTTGTCATTTGAACTAGTTTTCCCTATCAGGAGCATGTTTTTCTTTCTGACTGCATCCTGGATGTTTCTTCTGCTTTGTTTTCAGGAATTTAATTATGAAACATCTTGTTGTATGCACGTCTTTGGGTTTTTTCTTTAGGTTCTTGAATAGGTAGATTCTTTTTCCTTTTTTTTTTACACAAAATAAGAGATGTTTTTAGTCATTAGTTCTTTGAATACACTTTCTCCATTCCTCCTGAGACTCTGAAGATAAAAACTTTGAATCTTTATTATTCTACAACTACCTGAGGAGCTATTAGTTGTTTTCAGTGTTATTTTCTGTGTGTTGATCACATTGGGTAAGGTTTCTTGGTCCTTAAGTTGACTGATGTGTCCCTCCATTCTGCTGTTGAATTCTTCTAGAATGTTCTTACATTTTTGTTGTTAAAGATTTATTTTTTTTATGCTCACAGAACTGGGGTACAGGCCAGAGGTGTGGTGGGTGAGAAGATTCACCAGAGACAGAGTAGGGAGCAGAACAGGCAGATCGACTGAAACACACTGCTGAGGGGAGCAGTGGGCGGGTCAGGAATGGTCTGCCACACCATGTGGGTCAGCTACCTGGCTGGGCATCGAACTCATGCTGCAGTGGCTTTGGAGAGCTTCATAGTGCAGAGCTTTTAGCCCATTGCGCTACCAGGAAGAGCCCTGTTTTTACACTTTTGATTATACTTTTCAGTTTTATAATTTCTGTGTTTCTTTCTATACTTTTATTTCCTTGCCCATATTTGCTACTTTCATTTGTTTCAAGACAGTTTATAGTGCTTACTATAAGGCATTTTTAATGACAGTCTTTAAAAAAAATCTTTGTCTTATAATTTCAACATCTGTCTCAGTGTTGGTGTTAGTTTATTATTTTTTCTCATTTAGATTGTAATTTTCCTAGTTCTTGGTATGATGGGTGATCTGTTGAACCCTGGGTATTTTGCTTTTTGTTAGTAGATGTTCGTCTTACTAATTATATTTTTTTAAGATTTATTTATGTATGCATGCAAGAACTGGGGTACGGCTGGGGTGTGGGCGGTGAGAGGATTCACCAGAGACAGAGTGGGGAGCAGAACAGGCAGATCTACTGAAATACACTGTTGAGGAGAGCAGTGGACAAGACAGGAGAGGTCTGCCTTGCCATTTGTGGATCAGCTCCCTGGCAGGGAATTGAAATCCTGATTCAGTGACTGGCAGTAGCTTGAAAGTGCTGAGACTTTAATCCCTGTGCCACCAGGGAGGCCTCATGAGGAACACTTACCGTAAAGAGAACTAAAAAGAACCATTGGTAAAAAGAGAAAGGTTGCTTCTGCTCTTGTCACTGTATATAAGATATCTTAGTGCATTTCCTTTACAAGGTAAATCTAGTGCATTTCCTTAAAAAGGACTCCCATTTCATCTCTGCAACTTCTTGATTATGGTCAAGAAAAATTAGCAGCTGCATTGTTTCCTGCTAGGTAATATTTTGAGGTTTTCTTGCTTTAGCTGTTTCAGTAGCTGAAGCATATTGCCCCAATTTTATTTACTTGCCTTTACCTTTGGTGTTTATTACGTTAATTATAAAGGTTTATCACCCATATAACAATACCTATTTCTTATTTTTACTTAATTACATAGTTCTGGCTTTATTTCCCTTGAAAAATACTGTTTTCACCATGGATAGTGTGGCTTATTTTACTTTTCTGCCATTGTTTTGTTATTCATAAAAATAAATATTCCAGGATATGCTGACTTTTTATATTTTCCTGAAATAAATCTAAATTTCAGTATATGCTCAATATCTCTTGTGGGTTTTTCATGGCTTACTTCCTTCAAAGTAAAATCATACAAAAAATGGTAAGGAAAATCATATGATAGTGTATGCATTTCTTACCATATTTTTTTCATCAGATATACCATTTACTTTCATTTTATGAGTTTCACTTTATAGTTTTTGTTTTGTTTTGTATAGGATTTTTTGATTATTTTCTTTCATCTTTCGGCTAAATCCTAGACCAGGTTATTTGTTTCTTGCTCTCCAATTTATAACACTCACTGTGTACATGCCTACCATTTTTCGCCTATAATTCCAAAATCTTTGAAAAATTAAGCTTTTTTCATTCAGTTTATACCACAGGTTAGCACCAAGGACACGACTTCTCTTGAATGGACATGAGATGATATGTATCTATCCAACTTAGCTTGAATATTCTTGTTTCACTATTTGACTATGAGATGTTGTCCTTAATCCCTCTTGTGTTACATGATACATGGCATAGTGTGTTGCCTTTCTGAAATCTTAGAGCCTTTGCCTGAAACATTTGACAGTAGATGTTTTAAGTCTGATGTGGATTTGTGTCTATATGAATAGCATCACAGGGTAGTGTGGACACCTGTTACCTTGTCTATCATTCCTATAAGATTCTGAGCTTTTTCTTTAGCTCCATGAACTAGTTTATTAGCCTCATCAGAGCAGGCACTTAATATTGCAGCTGAATACTGAACTTTTACCAGAGAGATTATTCACCTATCTATGATAGATCAGCATGACTTTTTTTTTTTTTTTTTTAGATTTATTTATTTATTCATACAGAACTGGGGTACAGGCCAGAGGCTCAGGGGCGGCGAGAGGCCTCACCAGAGACAGAGTGGGGAGCAGAACAGGCAGATCTACGAAGCACACTGCTGAGGGAAGCAGCGGGCGGGCCAGGAGAGGTCTGGCTCGCCATGTGGTCCCCTCCGGGGCAGGCGGCAGGCGGGAATCGAACTCATGCCGAAGCGGCCTCAGATTCTCAGCGCTGTGCTTCAACCCACTGCGCCACCAGGGAGGGCCAAGATCAGCATGACTTTTAATAGATTATAACACGTTCTTTTTAAAGCAGTCTCTTTCCTTTCACGCTTCTGTTTTCTTTTTTTTATATATGTAAGTTTTTAAAAAGATTTACTTATTCATACCAAACTGGGGTAAAGGCCAAAGGTGCAGGGGTGGTGAGGGGATTCACCAAGGATAGAGAGGGGAGCAGAACACGCAGATAGACAAAGTACACTGCCGAGGAGAGCAGCTGGTGAGACAGGAGATCTGCTGCGCCGTGTGGATCACCTCTGGGGCTGAGGATTGAACTCCCGCTGAAGTGGCTGTGGCCAGCTGCAGTGCTGTGTCCTAACCCATTGTGCCACCAGGGAGGGCCTCATGCTTCTGTTTTCTTATTACTATATGGTCTTGACAACTTCTTTGACCTATATAATGATGTCATAATTTTGCCAATCTCAAAGGATTGTTACGGGAAATAAACAGAATGTTTCCTGGAACATAACACTACTTTAGCTGTTAATGTTGCTGTTCATAACCTTTTGGTTACTTTACTAACATGCTTACTGACATATGTTACTGGACTTTGAAGTCATTTCATTGCTTTGGTAGTTTTAATAATGTGATCACACTTGAACTTACATAGTATTGTTTTTGTGGGATAGACTGAGGTAAAATTGCTGGTTGGACAGTTGCTAATATTTTTAATTTTAACGGATACTTCCTAAAGCAGAATTGAGGAAGAAAGCAGGAATGAGGAGAAAGTTGGCAGTTTCCAGTCCTGCCAGCAGTCTATAGTTATGCTCATTTGCCCATAATCTTACCAGCAATGAATTTTATCACCTTGTTTTTTACTTATTTTTAAAATAAGTATAGACTTTGAGGACATTGTGGAAATGACCCATGTGTATATAGCCAGCTTTCTCTAGTGGTAGTGTCTTCTATAACTGTAGCAGACGATCAGAGTCAGGGAATTGACATAAATACAATTGTGCTAAGACTTGAATTTATTTGACTTTTCCCGCTCTCACCAGTGGTATCTCAGTTTGCCTTCTTTGAACGCTGTTTCTTTTCATGTGTTTTGCTGACATTTACTTTGCATGTTTGATGATCATTTGTTGATGTCATTCGTTTGATGATCATTTGTTGATGTCAAATGTTTTGCTGACATTTACTTTGCATGTTTGATGATCATTTGTTGATGTCATTCGTTCTAATGAATAGTGTTTTACTTCTTGTATGTTTGCAATTACTTTTTTTTTAACTTTGTATAGTTTCTGTAGTTTTGCTGTTTATTCTTTTTCCTATGTAGAAATTTTAACTTTTATTTAGCAAATGTTCCTCTTTTGTGGCTTTTAGGTTTTCTTTCTTATGTAGCAAGTTTTTTTGTCCTTTAGCTCACACATTTTCCTTTAATTCTTTTCAATTTTTTTGGCATTTAATCTATTTGGATTATTTTTATATAGACTGTGAGAAATATTTTTCCTAGATTGTACATCATATCAAGCCAGAACTGCTTATTAAGTAAGCTTTTACTTAGGATTCTTTCAGTTGCCTCTGACTTAATCGACAAAGTTCCAAATGTGGGACTGGCTTTAAGATGGTTAAAAATGCCTTGTCTCATATCTGCTTTTATATGTTGAATTTTCCCCTATACTCCTTACCTTGCCCTTCTGTTCTACCCTATTTTCAGATATTTCCTTCATGGTCAGTCATATGGTAATAGAAAGTTTTGGGTATTGCTTTTTTACATTACCCAGGGGAAGAGAAATGGTCTCTTTCTGAAGCTCTCCTGGAAAGCAGGTTTCTTTTCTCAAACGGCCAGATGCCTTCCAGAGGTGTTTGCCCTGATAGTGTCTTACATCTCTTTCTGAATCTGTCACTAAGAACATGGGAAGTGGGGTGCACACAGAAATGCACACACTGATTAATTTAACAGTTTGCCTTTACAACTGTGATGAGTATGGGATTAAGTCTCTAAAACACAGTGAGTGAGGGTGGGAGAGGAATATATGCATAAATAATATTATACAGGAAGGTTTAGGTATTGTCTCCAGAGGAGGGAAAAGATGGCAGGTAGTCAAACCACTGGTGACCATGGCATAGCCACTCATCTTTTTTCTAGAAAGAAGAAATAGTACCTTTTACCTTTGTTTGTTACAGTCTGCTTTTTTTCTCCTGATTTGTATTTTCTACTTTGCTCTGCAGTTTGTAAGTGCTTATTTGCCCATTTTCCTTGAAAATGGTTTCAGTAATAGTGACATAGAGTAATTTTAACATCTTCGTAAGCAAGTCTCCCATCATTTTTCCTTTGGAATTTTTATATACTTACTTGATATAAGCTAAGATTCTAGTCAGAATTGTATTGTGTGTATGTGAGTATTTAACATAGAAGTAATCCACTTTTTGACCCTCAACCTTTTCATAGTACTACAGTGGACCCATTTTTCGTTGCCATTTTATTTTTCCCCAGGTACACCCAAGATCTTTAGCATCCTCTTTCGGTAGACTTATTTGAGAGGAAAGGAGTTGGAAATAAGATACCCTTTCCCTCAGGATACTGTGAGAAATTCTTAAAAATTATGGATGCTGTGTAGTTTCATTTGTAGTGCTTTTGTTCTTAGATAGTACCAAAAGGGGAAAGTGTAAGATGCCCAGTTAAGATGAAAAGTAATAGATGTACATACTTTATATATCTAAAACAACAGCAAATATGGCAAATATATATTAGAACTACTAAACATTTAACCAAGTTGCTGCATGGTAGCTAACTCTCCTAAAGACTACTTAATAAGTTATCTAATACTAGGTCTAAATACAAGAGACTTGAAGCTTACATAGTTATGTCATATATCTCAACAAGTAAAATTTTACAAAATATAAGAGACCATAGAAATGTGTTTTACAACTCAGATTCAGCCTGAACAGTAGTATGCAGGGATGTTAATATTGTCTGTTTAAATATGTATATGTGTTGCTTTTACCAACTGTTTATTTTTGGACATTTAAATAAATTCTTATAAAACTTCAGCTTTTTTAAAGTATAATTGACAAATTATAAAGTATTTATGATACTTCTGTGATATAAATCATTCTTAATTTAAATGCTAGGTATTTGATCTAGGTCAAGAAAATTAAAGCTATTTTTATTTTATTTAGATATTAGGGAATTAATTTTATATCCATTTTTTTCCCCACAGCAGCCTCTATGTAGACTGATAGACTCTGCAGTCTATAAGATGTGCTCTTGTCAAATGAGTATTATCTGCTTATTTTACTTTAAGTCAGTGCTACATAGAATAATCAGACTGAAAGTAATCATCATGTTTTTTGTTTGCAGTGGGACTTCCCCTCTTGCATGCCTTAACGCAATGCTGCACACAAATTCCAGAGGTGAAGAAGGCATCTTCTATAAAGTTCCAGGTAGAATGGGAGTATATACTTTAAAGGTAAATGTTTTTGTTAAAAGGTCATTTAAAAAGTAGAAACAGTATAAATAATATTTTAGATTGAATTCTGTTTTTGAAGAGCTTATTTTCAGGAAGAGGTAATATTTTCAACTCGTATACAATATATATTTTTTTTAATATTTATTTATTTGTACATACAGAGCTGGGGTACAGGCCAGAGGCTCAGGGGCGGTGAGAGGCTTCACCAAAGACAGAGTGGGGAGCAGAACAGGCAGATTGACGAAGTACACTGCTGAGGGGAGCAGCGGGCAGGTCAGGAGAGGTCTGCCTCACCATGTGGTCACCTCCAGGGCAGGCGGGGATCGAACTCATGAGGAAGTGGCTTTAGCTTCTCAGTGCTGTGCTTTAACCCGCTGCGCCACCAGGGAGGGCCAACAATATATTTTTTAAAAAACTAATTGTGTAGGTGAATGAGAGAAGTAATTTTATTATTCTTTATGATAGTATCTTTAAAAGATGAAATGAAAAAAAAAGATAAAATGAAAATGACTTCTATGGCATTTTTTCAAGGACTTGACATTTGAATATTTTGTATTACTATGGAATACAGTGCCTTGAGGCTTTATATTACTTTCTCACTTTTAATTCTCCATTACAAGTTAGGGCTGTGGTCATTCTCTACCCACCCCCCACCCCCACCTTTTTTTTTTTTCCAATGGAAAAGCCAAAGTTCAGAAAATAGAATTTTCCCACTAGATAGTATCAGAATCAGAATTTAAACATCCATTTGACTGAAATCAGTAACAGATTTGTTTATCTCTAATTCCTAAGCTGAGAAAAGATGATATTATGATATTAATGTCCTTTCATTTTGAAACAGGAAATCAACTTAAATGAACTTGACTAAAATAAAGAATTTATTAGTTCATGTAACTGAAAATTCTAGGAAAACTCAGTGTGAATCTACAAGTTCAAACGATAGCATTAGGAATTGGACTAGTTCTTTCCTTTGGCTTCATTCTCAGGCAGGCTCTCTCCTCATCATGCATAACTCCCACCCCATAAACTGTTAAGTCTGGAGAGAAACAAGTGTCAGGAGCTAAATGCAGTTCTGATTTTAATGATGTTTTAGTTGTTGTGACCCCTCCATTTTGTTATTTAACATTTATTAAATGCCAACTTATTGTGAGACTATAAATTAGGTAACAGATCCCCCAGCTTATTTTATAAGTCTTGTATTACAAAATAATGTGGTAATATAGAGAAATAAAGATTAATTTTGAATAGAACAATATAGGGTGTTTTTCTTTTAAACTTTTAAGATGTATTTAAACTTTGGTGGGTAAGTTAAGGAAGAAAGGGCCTACCAGGCCAAGACACAATTGGAAGTATTGAGGATAGATTTGAAAGTAAGTTTGGATTGACCATATCATAAACTGTGTGGACTAGTGTGATAAACAACCATAGATGGAAAATGTGTGTGTGTGTATGTATGCAAGCCAGAGCAAATCTGTGTTTAGGAACATAGTTCAAGTAGAATAGAGTCCAAAGGTAATGAAGGAAAGCTTTTCAGAAGGTTTTGATTGTTTGGAAGAGATAATCAGGGCCTGATGGAGCATGGGAAAAGAGATGGGGAACAAGGATCATTAAAGATGTAATATATCATTTATTGTGGGTAATTGAAGAGAGGGAAAGATTAGGGACATAAGCATTTGATCTCTGGAGGGATTACAAATTAGAAAAAGAAGATAGTTGTATTTAAAATACTTGAACTTCTGTGTCAAGAATTTTACTGGCAACTAATTGTATAAAGGATATAGTTCAGACTGGCATGTTGAAAGAAAAAATAGAAAAACATGGGATATGTGTTTTAAGAAAGTGTCCAACATAAAAATGGCTCAGAAATGATATTCATGTGAATGTAATGAAATAGTTCCTAACTAGGTCAGAGGTTACTATTTTGGCTAGAGTGTCATTGTGCATGCCAGTTGTAAGGTCATATTTTGTTAGAATTATTTATTATTTGCTTATAAAAATAATGTGGAAAAGTAAATGATGTATTGAGAAGAAAAAAAACTACTGACAGTTTTATAAATTTCTCTGTTCATGTGGATATATTTCTTTGTGTTACATAAATGCATAGTAGCTAGTGCTTTATTCAAAGCACTTTATGTTTATTAACTCACTTGATTTCAGAGTCCTTTTTTAAGGCAGGTACTATGGTAATAGTGCTCATGTTATAGGCAGAAAAATGAGATGAGAGGTTAAGGCATTAATCAAGGCTTTACAGTTAGAATATGAAGCCAGAATTTAAAGCAAGAAAGCCTTAATTTCCTCATTCTTGATATTGTAACTCCATATACTTCTATCCTGACAACAGGCAAACCTTGTTGAACAGCCTTTTCACTCCGTAATGTAGAAGCCAAAGGTGCATGTAATTAAAAAAAAAAAAATTCACAATATATAGTGGTACATATATACACACACAGAGGATGATAGAGGTATATATATTATATAGTATTATTATTATATAGTTTTTCATCCTGAACATTCCATCACCTAACTGGGTTTACATCTACCCAGTTTTTGTCTAATTGAAGCCTCCATATGAACCTGCATATGATTGTCTTTCAATATAAATAAAAACGTTAGCTAATTTTACTGAAGAAAAAAAAAGGGGATGTGACAGGAATAAAAAAAACTCTTGCTCTGCAGCTAACTCCTGTGATACTGAAAATTAGTATAATTAAGTTGCAAAATGTATATCAGAAGTTTAATTCCTATCTTGCTGAGATGGTGATGATTAATCCTAATTGGATGTCTGCATTTTCAGAAAGATGTACCAGATGGGGTGAAAGAGCTATCAGAAGGGTCAGAAGAAAGCAGTGATGGTCAGTCAGACTCGCAGAGTTCCGAGAACAGCAGCAGCAGCAGCAGTGATGGTGGCAGCAACAAGGAAGGGAAAAAGAACAGGTGGAAAAGGAAAGGTGAGTTGACCCACTAAAGTAGTGCATGCTGTAGGATAAAGGTCATGTTAGCACTCTTCGGGTCACTACTGCCCAGTAGTTGCTTGTGTTGCTGGGAATGTCTGTATTTGTGCCATCCAGTCCAACCCAGCATAGCCACTTAGCAGCGTGTGTCTTGTGAACACTTGAAATACTGCAAATATGACTGAGAAACTGAATTTTAATATTAATTTAAATTTAAGTAGTCACATGTGACTGGTGACCTCCACATTGGACAGCAAAGCTCCAGGTTTTTGCCTGGATTTATTTTCAGTTTTTGGCTGCCTATTGCTTTTACTTTGTAATGTTCTTATTTCATTTGCTTCTCTAACACTGTCTTCTGGAAATTGGACAGTTAGTAAAACTCCTTTTTATTCAGGGAAGAGTGTTTCTTGTTTCTGTTAAGCAAAGACTGAATTTTTTAGTCTGTGGTCTTTAATTGCATGCCCTGGTGGCATGCCTTTGTTGCTACAGCTTCCCTGGAACGAATTTTTCCATTTAAGGACATACTTTATTACCTGTTGTTGGCTAATTATCTGTAGTTTCTTATCAGAGTGTTCTTGAAGAGAGCACATCTGTGCTACCTTAATCCTTATACATTTAGCTGGACATAACAACAGATCTTAAGTCAGCTTATGATGGGTCCTTTATAAGGATTGATGCAAATTAATACTTAAGAGTTCCCTTACCTTGGATAGCCTCTTAGATTTGAGTTATAGGTGAGCTGTCTTTTGATCTAGAAGCTCTGGCTTTATTTGTTGGACTCATTAACTTTGATTGTCTTCGTAACTATTCATATCAAACTAGGTCAGAAAAAGTCTGTTCATTACCATCACTGTTGTTAATATGTGTTGAATTCCTGTTGTGTGGTGTGAGTACTACATGTATAATCTGGGCAGATCTTGTAACCAGAGTTTTGGCTTTAAGAGCACATGTACTTGGAGAGCACTTAGACATTAGATGTAAGGGACAAATGTAGTAAAGACAGAACAAAGCTGGGATCTCTGACCAGTGTTCTTGTTATGTAATTATATATAAAGTAATCCTGTCAATCGTGAAAGGACACGTTGGACCAGGGCCTTGTAGTCCTCTAATTCACTAAGGACCTGTTTTTGGAAAGAGAGAACCAAAAGTGTTAGGGTGTCATCTGTTCTCCTCAGTTTAAACTTTACAAGTTGTTGATCTAAGAACCAAGAACTAAACCAGGTCATTAAAAACAAGTGAAACAGCAAGATGTGGGTTTTTCTGGATGTGATTGGAAATAGGGGCTCAATATTAAAGGAGGCCAGATTTATAAACTGGGAACAAAATCATGGATTTGGAAGTTTTTACTTTTCATTGGCCACATTTGCGCAGTAGCTCTTAGAATAGCAGCTCTTGCACTGTGGCTAAAATCACTTTAAGAACTTTAGGTAAATGTATGGTGATACAGGAGGACCTAAGCAATAACAAGAGAACCAGTTGTCAGGAGCATAAGAGGTAGATTAAGATAGAATGACCTTGCCCCCCACAGGCAGCACAATAATTTAAGACATCAGGAGCAAAATAATAGCAAGTTCAAAATAATAGCAAGTTCAGACTGTCCAAAATTGTTTTTGAACTGCCTTTTGATTTATTCTCCTTCTAGAAGTCTCAATATTGAAAGACTTTCCTCAGCTTACATTAAGATAACGTCCTATTAAGATGACATCCTATTAAGATCTCAGATTTTAGGTGTTTTGTTAAACTAAAAATAGAATGGGCTATATGTGATGTTTAGATGATGTTGATGAGAAGTGCACATGATGGCTATGGAATTCACAGTTACTCTGGCAGTTGTGATAGTTTCCAGAGGTGGATAAATGCTGGCCTGCTGTGAGTGAAAAAGAATAGTTTTTCATAGATTTGAGTCTCTCTGACTCACGGGTCATACAATGACTATGTAATACACATTTCATGTCAATTTTTATAAATATTCTGCATTTATAAATGTTTTGTACAAAATAAAGTTGGAAAATTTGCAGTTTACAGTGATAGCAGCACACAACAAAGCAGTTTCAAATCACTTGCAGTTATTAATAAAGGTAGAGCAATGTGTCTGTTCCGTTTTCTTAGGAGGGCTTTTACTCTCATTCTGACATCACTTTATTTCAAATGCATTTTCGACAGGAAGAACAATGAGATAGTATCTAAACCCACTTCCTTTTATGTACAAAAATACAGAGCCCTGACAGCAAAGTGATACTTCTAGTTGAAAATCGATAGAAACTCTTGATATGCGCATAGGTTTCTGGTAGATAAGAACAGAGTACAGAACTGTAAAGTTGAGCCCAATATTAAAACTGTTTATTGATTTCCCTGTAAAGTGGAAGAACTTAGAAGTTTGTAGTTTGAGTCCTAATTTTAAGGCAGGAAACAATGTTCAGAGAAGAACTTTATGGGATTCCAAGCCAAGGTAAGGTGGAACAACTCCAGAGAAACGATTAATAAAGTCTATTCTTTCATGGTGTTTTGCTTGGTTGGTTGTTTTGGTGGGGTCATAGTTGAGTGGCATCTCTGTTCACCCTGCGCCCCACCCCAGCAAAATACAAATAGTGCAGTGTGCAGCGTCTGTAGCTCTACTGTTCCTGTCTTCCGATAGAGAAAAGTTACCCTAGATTTTGGTCTGCTTTTCAGATGTCTTAAGAAAATTAATTATGTGAAATAATACCTTTCACCAGTAAGGAACTACTAATCATTTCCAGGCGCATAAACTAATGCTAATTTTACTGCCTTTTCAGAACTATTTTAAAATCAGGAATTTGATGCCTTCTGTGCTTAAAGTTATTTAAAATACCAGAGACCTGCCTGCCCTCTGACAGTTCTTATGTGTGTGTTGTTGCTGAATGGGGAGATTATGTATATAAATGCCTCCTTAAAAATGTATTCTGTGGAGAAAAATTTAATGGGAGGACAATACTCTTGGGAGTTGTTTTCTCCTCTGGTGACTGAGTTGTCATGTCATTTGTTAAAGACAACTGTACCAATAGAGCCTAGGCAGTTAGGGTTCGATGAAGCAAAGGAAGGTGTTGGGATATGGCCTTTTCATCTTTGGTTAGGGTATAGTTTGATAATAATTTGTAGCCATAGCTTCTTGGTGTAGGAAGAAGGGACCTAGCACTAACATGTTTGTTACTTCTGGAAATGAAATTCCTCGAAGAATGACTACTGTGAGAATAAGAACTCTCCAAAGATTACGTACTTTGGAAACCTCATTTGTTTTCAGGCCTTCCGCTATTAATCCTTAACCATATGTAGCTAAGCTTTGGTACTGTTGTCGATCTGTTATTTCTAGTAGTCTTATTTGAGGGTCCACAGGAGAAATAAAATATCAAGTCTGATGACTTAGTAAAGTTTTCAGCTCAGAGGCTTCTAGTATTCTGTTCCTTAACCTTTGACCTCTTATTGTATAATAATTCATCTGTTAAAATGGAAAATTCTCAATGCTATAATTGATCTGTAAAGTAGTACCTTCTAACCTTATGCTCAGTGAGTGGTACATAAATAGTCAACAACTGGAAACCAAGTAAAACTGATTTTAATAAGCCTCACGTGTTAAAACTGGTTTTAAATATTTTCTGAAAGTACTTAATATTCATCAAGTAATTGCTCTACTAGACTATTTCTTAAATAATGTGTAACTGCTGATCTTTTGATCAGAATTTGTTAATCTTTACATCTGTGTGTTTATCGAAATATTTTTGTTTCTAATCAGCTACAAAATATGTTAAATAAGAGTGACATTAACATATTAAAAGCAGTCCACATTGGAGGATCAGGTTATAGTCTTAAAAGTTTTTGTTTATGACATTAGTTTACTTACAGCGCCAAACAAAACTACTGTCACCATTCAAGTAATGTGTATTGCTTTACTAATGTCTGGGAAATTTATTTGAATAATGTGTTAGCATATTTGTAGATATTGAAAAATAAGTAGCTAGTTAGCAGATGGTAGTAAATAACATATATTTTTATCACATTATGGCAGCATTATAAAAGGCAGTTTAGTTAACTTCACCTGAAGATAGGATGCATCACAGAAAGTGATATGGAAATAGAAAAGTATGTACAGTGTTTTCAGGAAGCCTTGAAGGTAAGTTTGGCTGGATAGGGTATTTGTGGGAAAATCTGGGATCAGAATGTTAATCTTGAGTGATAATCACTATCATTTATAGGTTATTAATGTGCATGAAGTATAAATTGCTTGGGAAAATTCAGGTATGTGTTATGGACCAGACAGTGGCAGTGCTGTTGACGCTCCCAAATGTAGAACCCGCACCAAAGGGAGCAGGGTTTTTGTTCGTAGATCTTTTTCTCTTGGTTTTATCCTCTTGTTTATTTAGTATCCTAAGTTAATATGCTGGCTTCTTTGATTTGATTTTTCTGTCTAGTGTTCAAGTTATTTCTTGGCATTGTTATGTAGATTAATTGTTACATAGAATTCATTTCCATTCTACTTTTGAAAATTATTTGTTGTGGTTAGTGGGTTTCCTTGATGTTGGATGACATTAATTGGCAATGTTAGTGTTTTTTTTTTTTTTTTTTAAGATTTATTTATTTATGCACAGAGAACTGGGTTACAGGCCAGAGGTGCAAGGGTGGTGAGAGGCTTCACCAGAGACAGATTGGGGAGCAGAACAGACCGATAGACAAAGTACATTGAGGGAAGCAGCGGGTGGGCCAGGAGAGGTCTGCCACGCCATGTGGTCACCTTCGGGACAGAGATCGAACTTGTGCTGAAGTGGATCCAGCTTGCTTGCAGTGCTGTGCCCTAACCCATTGCACCACCAAGGAGGGCCAACATAAGTTTCTTTTGAAGTAAAACTGGTACTAGAAAATTGTGAGGGATTATTTTCTCTAAGTGCCACTTTGCAAGGCAAGATTATAAAAAGAATTGATGTGGTTAAAATTATTTTTTTAACTGTCATTTTTATTTTATATATTTTATAAATATATTATTTATG